AATTCTCTTATTTTAGTTATTTATATTCTGTTGCCATTTTTTAATTAGTATTTTAAAAATTATATTATGTTTTTATAAAGTGTAAATTTACACAAATTACACATGAATACTTTATATACTTCTTTTAGTCTGATTGGAAGTGTTCAGTTAATTTTTAATTACTCTTATCCGATTTCATTTTATTTTTTATTCTCTTATTCTAGACATAAGAAATAGCACGTACATTTATTGTCAAATATTATAATATTTAAAATATTAAATATTAACTTGGTCTTTAAAGAATCTAATCAGTGCGTTACTTGGATTCATTTTATTTATTAGTCATACAGATAAAATGTACATACATACAATAGATAAAATGTAAGAAGGAACACTTTTTCTTTTTGTATAATGGGTAAGGATAATTTTTTTTAACTAAAAGTCTTTGAGGTAACAGACTTCACTGACAAAACAAATTCTACAATGCTAGGGATGGACTGGGTCATAAAAGCCACATAAACCATGTAATCATTCCTTTAGTTAAACTAAATGTACATTATTTTCGGAACATTTATGGTAAGGAGAAAATTTTATTTTGTTTAGGGACCAAACACCTTTTGATCCCTATGAAATTATATGTATTCCTTTACATAACTGCAGATTACATTTATTTCTTTATGAATATGTATGTATACATTAAGTACATGCATGTATACATTATAATAGGGAATTTTGGAGCAGAAGACTTAATGGATAATAGTGAAAATTTCAGTCTGGAGTCCTCTAAAGGGAAGCTTTTTTTCATTTATCCTTTTCATTTTTGCTGGTTATGGTCCTACGTATAATGCCACACTTTTTTCTCTAAATTGATAAATCTTGCTCTGTGTTCCTGCTTACCAAGGTGAACAAAGAGGACAATACTGGTCATTTTTCAGATTTTTTTTTTTTGACCTATAGAGTTTAAAGAAGTCCCAGGGCTTACAGGAGTCTTAGAGATAAATCCTTCAGTCTTTTTTTTTCCTGTAGCCCCTTCTCCTGTTACTGCTTGGGTGATGGTCTTCTGCCATCTCTTCAGCACTATGTTGCTATAAGACGGTGTTGGTTCACAACCTCAAGCTTTTCTGGGTGAGATCTGCAACTCCCCCCATACACGGAGGGTGAGGAGAGACCGGAGAAAGAGGCAGATCACTGTAGATTGGTAGGTGGCAATTTTAATAAGCAAGGGAACTTACAAGTGAGATTTGTCTTCGGTGGCCCTCAGATGAGTAGCTCTCCACACCGCCTGTCAGAATCTTAAATATTTATATAAAGATCTTAACTGGGTTCAGTCACCTGTACCATCCAGATGGTCTCAACAACACCTTGCTCTTTCAAGGCTGCGTTCTTGCAAATGGCTCCCAGGGGGGCAGAACGTGCATCCCAAGGCCAAGGGAGGAAGTGAGGAGCCTCCGACAGCTCGGGTTCAGTCCATGTGTCGTTTGGTGATCATGTCCTCTTGATGACCTTCTCCAACAGATGGCTGGGGTCTACCCAGGTAGTTGTGTTCCTAGTGAAGGCAGGTGGCTGCCCTACTGGCCTTATTCGCTTGGGGCTACCTCAGCCTCCTTACCTGATTTCCAAGTCCATGACCCTTGTTTCGTTGGCCTTCATCAGCATCCTTGGAACCAAACGCAAATGAGGTTCTGCCGCTTTGGTAGCCTAAAGCTTTTTATCTCTATGAAGTTCGAAGCTCTCGCTCTATCCAATCCTGCTGCAACAACTTCCCAGGAGCAGGGCTACTCTCATCTCTCTCCTGGGAGCACAACCATGTCTACTCCTTCTCCTCTGAGATTGTTTAGTTTATTTGTTTGTTCAAGGCCTCCTTGTGAGAATCACTGCTGAAATAAAGGGACTCTGAACTCAGGATAAAAGTTTGGGAAATGTTCCTTTCCATTCTTTTGCTGTCGAGAACAGCCAAGAAAACTAAGTAGCTTCTCCATAATTCTCTTGCATGTGTCTGTCTCTGTCTTCCATAAAATATGTGAGCTCATCATATATTTTTAATACGCTTTTGTATCTTTCATCTTGTTAAAATTTTATGACATCTTAGTGGTCCTAATTCTACTGTATTTCCTGGCAGGAGTCCAAGGCTGTGGGCCGTGTCGGCTGACTTTAAGCAGTATTGGTAGCACCCACTCTCCGTGCCCCCCAGTTCTCACCTCCAACACACATAGGTTTTTATATCACCTAATGCTTCTGTTTGTTTGAAGACTCATATTCCATGACTGTGACCATATCGAAGGTGATAATTCATATGGTCCAAAACAGGTTTTATTAATAACATAAATACATACTCAGATTTACAAATATACCTATGATTTAAAAAATTATTTATGAACTTGTCAGAAATGTACCCTTCTTAGTGATATCTTTTACTTCTGTTGACATATAAGGACTATTTTCACTCAATTATTTCCTGAAATTCCCCTAAAGGAAAGTGTTTACAAAATTTTGAATTACGTGACCTATAGAAACGGTAGCATATTATTTGTTGTCCGAACCAGTATACTTACGAAAGCAAGGGGCCGCTATTAATAATCATGTCAGGACAAGAGCTGTAAGTCACCACTGTCCCAAACAAACCAAATGTATAGTCACACTACAGGGCAGAGATAGCCCATTTTCATGTGACATCCTCAGGCAATTTTAAGGTTCTCTTTTTGATGTGATTTGATTCAACATTTGGGTCACACCAGTTCTGGCCTGAAATATTGAAGCAATTATTTTGTGCGCTTCAAGTGAATTTCAGGCCATGTTAACTTGCCATTTTGTGCTAATGACTCTAATGACTGAAATTAGTGCCAGACAATGAGCTTGGCAGTGACAGTGTGAATGGTACTGTCACATTTCTCTTTTTGCTATGATTTCAGCCAGTGGATAGTAAATTCACTACATTTTATTTACGAAGCGTTCTTAAATCAACAGCATTGTTATTTGACTTTTAAAGTACTTCCATTGGTAAATTTTTTGACTTATGCATATGCTACGAAGTAAATTCATATTTAAATTTTCAAGGAACTCTAATTGCTGATCTTCACAGTTCTTCAAGTAGGTCTCTTGGTTTGAAGCTGAAAGAACTCCCCAGCAAAGGAAACTTTGAACAAAGAGAGCCCATGAGTCTAAAATAAGGTCACATTTTCAATAAATACTTAAATGATGATTCACTTCAAACACCTTCCTGCCTTGCTCAAAGCTCTATTTCCACCACCTAGAACCATGGCTAGCTTGTAATAAGCATACATTAAATATTTGTTTAATGAATGAATACTATTCTTTACAGTTTGCTCTATGATATTTATGGCATGCGTTTTTTACTCTCAGGCATTCTGTGCTTAATATCTATAATATTCCTGTCAGTGTGTTGTATGGAGACTCCACTTGCTTTCCATAATTTTTTATCCAATTAATCAAATAAGGTTGTAATTTGCAATGCTAGTTTCCTTTGCTTCAGGAGAAAGTTTTCCATCTTTCCTTTTAGTTACAGTTCACATTCCCTTGACTTTCAGATTTGCCCTTTGCTTTTCTTGTGCAAGCCAAGAAACCAGATGATGTAACCAAATCTCTCTTTTTGCTCTATTTAAAGTTTTAGCTAGGGTTATGTTTCTGTTAGTCTGGTTTCCAAATGAAATCTAAAGTGCTGTTTTAATAAAAGTGAGGTCCAAGGGAAAATCTAATAGTTAAATCTTAAAGATCTTTCTATGCTCAGTAACCCGCAAGAGAGCTACTGTCTATTCCTAGAGAAACAATTTCCAAATGGAAATGTGTGTTTGTGCCTGGCTTGTTGGTTGGATCCCCATTTGGGGGCATACAAGAGGCTTCCAATTGATGTATCTCTTTCACGCAGATGTTTCTTACCCTCTCTTTCTGCCTCCCTTCTCGTCTGTACAGAATCAATAAAAGAAAAAATATGTCCTTAGGTGAGGATTAAAAAACTACAGTAAAAAAATGATGTCAGTCCTACCCAATTTTAATTAATGTTCCTATATCGATGTCATTTCCTTTATCATTATTTAGATATACTTTCTCAGGAATGGAGATAAGTATAATAGACAAACTTTATCTTAGGAGAAGCTTGGGTGACCTGTGTTTATTTTATTTTATTTTATTTTTGGTTCCACGGCTTTTTTCATCTTCCCCACTTCAGCATATCAACGCCCCCATTTCTCTTCTCTACCATTAATCTGAAACATTTTTCTGTACTAATTCTGGTATTAGTAATATTACGTTAATGTTTCTTATAATACATTTTCCTCTGAAGTATTTGCATTTTAATATTCTTTTTAAGTTTAACATTTATCTTTGTAAATGGAACTTTAAGTCTTGGGGTGGAAATTATGTTTTGTTGAGAGCCACCAAGTTCTGTAACACACATGCATACCCCACATACCACAACACACACGTGTGTACCTGCCTGTACATGGGTGTGGGTAGTTTAGCTAAGGGTAAGGCTAAGTCATCTGTCACTTATGATAGAGCTTGTACTTTCCCTTTTAAGTTTTCACGCACCTTCAACAATTGGATCCTCATCTAGGTGAGGTCTGCCTTGGTTTTATTGTCTGGGCAGTATTGGGAATGGGTCTATGGAAACAAAAGGGAATTATCTGGAATTTATGCAACGTCTTTACCATTTGTCTTAAGTAGTTTTAGATGAAAAACCAAGAACATTTGTAAAAGAGAATACAGCAGGCAGGCATTCTAATGCATCTTGTTTTCATGCCAGCACAATGAACAATCCCTATACACTGTATACTAGTTCTCATGTCAGTATTACTTGTTGCAGGATGATAGAGGGGTTGTGGACTTCACTTATGCTCAATTGTTTTCCAAAGAGCAGAAGGACATACAGTGCTTTCACCCATGCCAGTCTAATGGCAAATACTTCAGAGCGCAGTGAGATGATAGCGGTTCACTGAAACAAAAGCAAAGATGAATGGATTTTGAGTTATGATGTATGCTAATTTCTGATAATATTTATATTGCAGGTCAGTTGCTCCGCTTAAAAATGTTTCGCGAGGATCACGGGTCGTGGATGACAATGTTCTTCAGCACAATTCTCTTTCTCTTCATATTTTCTCACATATACAACACGATTCTTCTAATGGATGGGAACATGGGGTAGGTTATATTTCCACTTTCTACTGTGGTGAGTGTTATGTTGAAACTCATAAGAATTCAAAGAGAATTTTTTAGTTTGTACTAGCCTTGATGTCCTTTACAAATATTCCCCCCTAAATAGGGGTAATCTGTGCGTTTTCTTGCTTAAGACATTTTGAGCATTTTTCCAAGAAGATTTTTACAATACTTATATTGTGTTCCTTATTTTTCACGACTTCTCTGTGGGGATAGTTTGAGGACAGCTACTAAGTTCATTATAGTGACAGAGAGTATGAGAATCAGAAAATCTTATTGACTTGATTATGCTTACCAGATTAGTACAGCTGGGCAAAGGTGAAGGTCTCCAGATTCACAACTCCATTGCTCTTCAACGCCTGGCTGAATAAAAGTGTTTGATACTGGTGGCATTTTTTTTTAACTCTCTTGACAGTTGCAACAGAGAGACTTTTGTTACAAATGGGTCATTTTAAAAGTGGACCACCACCCTGTATTAAATCCAGGTTGTGATCTATACTTATCAAATCACTAATCAAATCACAATGACATGAAGAAGTGCTACCAAGTAGATTATAGATTATTTTTAACTTTCTCCAGGTCTTGGTTTGCTCTTGGTAAGTTTTAAGGGCAGAAAATGAAAATTGCTTAGTCTATAGCATTAAGAATTAGATTAATGACAAGAATAAGATAACATGTCAGGTATCTGTGGTACACTGAAATAGTTCATAAGGAAGATTTTGATCTATCCTTCAATAGATTGGAAAGCTAGGTAATAGCCTTTTCTTTTAAATGTATCCTAAGCAAGATGTCAGCCAGTTCTGTAGTGCAATTACTTTGATGTTATGTATATATCTTAGCTATCACTGTTCAATGCTGAGAGGGATAGCTCAATTAAAATTTTGTGGTTTTTTTTTCTCCATCATTAAAGGAGATAAATAGTAAAGGGAAAGTAGGTATTTCACAAGCTTTTTACTTTAGTCCATACTAACAAGTGGTAAATTCAAGAATGTGATCTCAGATCAAATGTTCAAGCTTTAGAGGGTTATTAAAATGTCTTGTCTATAATTTTTTCTGGAGCTTTAAAAGATGCCATTTGTACTGGGTCTATTTTTAAATGGTGCAGTTGCGGACTCTAACGCAGAGCTGGTCAGAGTCAGCCTCAGCCTTCAGAGCTTTGCTTATAACAAGGAATGGGCACCGGTGCTCTTGGGGTTACCTTATGCAGCCAAAGGTCGGAGAGCCGCAATGCCCTCTCACCTCTGGTACCAGAAGGGAAAGGGGCCCATGTAAAACTTTTTTACATTTAAAGCTGTTGCTGGAAATAATACACTAAATAGTATATAAGATATGTCCTTTGCTCAGAAGTTGACTTTTCATTTAATTCTATTTTTTTTCAGTATGGAGCTAATAAACTAGCCAGAAGTGCTTGTTCTGAGGAAAAAAGATTTAAGAGTAATGAATTAAATGCAATAAGAGATAATCCCTGGCACGTTGTAAAGCACTCAACAGCTAACAATAAAATTAATCTTTAATATCAGGTACCAGTCATTGAGCACTCTATACCAGACATGATTTTTCTCAATTAAATCCAAAGCAAGGGACAAATGAGTTAGTTGTACAGATAAAAAGAAATAGATATCCATTTATAAAAGATGTATTTCCAACTTTTATGGCATGTGCCAGTGGAACTAGTGAGCACCATAAGGTAGGAATGTAACCTCGGAGAAAGATCAGTTCTTAGAACAAATAGACACAACTGTGCTTTTGGGGCTTTCCAGGAGACACCATGGGGCACTTCCTCCTTCTTCAAAGGGTAGGGAATGATGGGACCAGAAGTGTGGAAAGGACAATAGGTACCCAGATGTCATGTTTGATTCATTTTATATCAGAGGATTGCTGGTGGTCAAGGGGAGCTCAGGATTCTGGACAATGAACCTGATTTGCACAGAGGATTTCAATGTACCCTGCGCCTTGTGGGCCTCTCTAGGAATATTGGTCTAGAACTATTGCAAAAAGGGTTTCAAGGGTTGTCTCTGATGGCTAGACCTGTGGTCCTGTATTTTAGAACGCCTTTCCATGCTGGAAGCCCTCAGGCTTACAATGAGGGGGTTTAGGTTTTCGGTGAGGAAGAAAAGAGTTTTCCTAGAATGATTTACCTTCCCCCAACCCCCAATTTTAGGATTGGGTATAAATTTAGGCTAAGCCAGAGTGGTTTGATTCCTTGTTACAAAGAACAAAATCCCTAGGTTTATCTGATCAGAACCTCAAGAGTTCCCGCCAGAACCGACTTGTGAAGAAGAGTCAGGTTGCCGTTCCGTGTGTGTAATGGATTGCCTGCAGCAGGCACTAACCCTGTGGCGCTGGCCGTCCCTGGGAGCCAGGCGGAGAGGCAGTCGGGTGGAAACCGGGAAGAGACCAGTGAGCTGGCTGGGCGAGTGGAGACTGAGGCTCAGACTCTCCGTATTTCCTACCGCTCTGGGGGAGTCCCCTCTCGCCTTTGATTCTCTTTCCATCTGTCTACACCTCACACCACCCAAATGGTGCTGTCATAACTGCCTTGATTCTTTAAGTCACCAAGACCAAACTAAATTCATCTTTCTGTAACTGTTTGAGTTGGAGGGGAGGATTCTGTTGCAGAGAAGGCTCTGATCCCGGGCAGGGATTTACATCTAGATGTTTTATAAGCAACTTCCTTTTTACAGGGTTGCAGACTTGGTAACCTGAAGCCTCTCCTACTACAAAATCTTTAGGAATGCTGGAAAATCTGATGCAGCCAGATAAGCTCCTTTTAAATGCGTAGCTGAGCTTACCCATAGGTAGGGAAAAAGCCAAGGCCAAAAACGATGAAGGATCTGCAAACCAGGGCAGTGACTTAGGGACTTGTGTTTTAGCTCTCATGGCAGGGCCAGACAAAAAGATTTGGTCTTGTATTAAGTAAGAAATTAAAAGAGAAGCCACTGCTTTAGATGGTCCTGGAAGGTGCTTCAGAGAATGGGGGATTAGGAAACAGACAACCCCTAGTACACACAGCATCCAGAAAGCTCGTCTGACTCAGCCTGGACTTCGGGTGCAAAACAATAATCTTCCATGGGACTCATGGAACGGAGGTGTGGTTTTTGGTTTTGATATACATTTTCCTTTTGATTTTAGAACACACCCCTCCCCACCCCGCCCCTCCAAACATCCGGAGTCATTCTTTTCTCCCAGTTTCGGGGTTTCTGTTTCTCTCTGGAGCTCACCTGTGGTGTAATATTTAGAGCAATTTAGTTCCCTTTCATCTCAACTTCTGTCCATTGTGATTTACCCGGGGCTTTTCCTTTTGTAACCAAAATCTTATTAATGCATCTTCCAGTCAAAAGTGCCAGCACTCAGAGATAAGTGTTGCTGACTTCTCAGAATATGAAGGGGCCGTTGCCACAGCAGTTGGGTTTGGTGATGTTTTTAAAATAACAATTGTCCCTTACCTTTTGGTTCAACTGATGTTTAATTAACCATCTCTTGGGCGAGAGACAGGAAGATACTCAAAGAAAAAAGGGCAAAGATATCAACTAAGTTAAAATTAGGGTTATCTAGTCATCACAGTTCAGCTGTATGCTGTATCATTTACAGGAAGGGCTGAAGCCTCAAGAAGGTGAGACATTAATGGGAAAGCAACATGCAAGTATTTTCTTCCCCAGTTACGGGACTTGGTTCAAAATGATTCTAAGTGAATCTCCCCCCATTTTTGGATTTTCTCTGTTTTCAACGAGGTATCCTAAAGCCAATATATTTAGAAATTCTCTATTGGGTAGGAATAAAGAGAGGTGTGCTTCACTCTTTATTTCTTTATTAGTGCAGGTTGAGGTTTTTCTTGAAACCAATCCTCTAAACTTTTTTTGGTGTCGTCTTCTGAAGAATTTCTCAGTCATGGAATTTTTTAGAGCATCCATAGTATGAAGCCCCAACTTAGGGAAGGCTTCCTAGTGTTTTCAAATATCTCAGTTCCCCACAGGATAACACACACATGTATAAGGAATGAAGTGTTGAGAAAGGGAACCTTGTAGCCCATATTTGACGTTCCTAAAAAAATTCTGCAAAGAGCCACTTGATGGCAGCAAAAGGCATGTTTTCAAGCAAGGAATGCCTCAGGGTATTGTCTCAGGCAGGTTTTCTCCTCAGAAAAAAGAATCATTTCCCTTGTGACTTTCTGAAACTTGGTGTTGAAATAGTTGTGTTCCTAGTTGTTAATGAATTTCTTTGAAGAAATCCACATAGTGAGCTCTGCAATGAGCACTTTCTATTTTGTGATGTGCTCAGCCCCTTTTTATGTTCTAAAACAATTTTAAATAATAGTTTATATAACCATGTTTGTGCATAATATACGTCTATATGTTTATAGACCTAATTCAGTATTACAAGGATAAATATTGTGTCTAGCACTGAGGAAATTAGACACCTGACTCATGTATAAAAGTTCCTCCATGGACTGGAATTTCCAAAGGCGTGTAGTATTTTAGGGCGGGATATGAAGAAGCAGATGTTTTCTAGTGTTAATGGCAAAAAAGAAAAGTTTTGTTTTTCCTAATACAAAGCCTTTTCCAGAGAAATTTTACCACTAATAATACACCAATATCTGGTAAGTATGCCGGGGACAGGATTTGAGAAATAAAACCAAGTGATTCAAACAATTTTGAAAAAGTGGATTAGTATTTGTAATCAGGACCTGAACAAAATGAAGGTAAGAATTAGGTGGTGGATATAGTGAGAATGGAATAGACTCCATCTCTCTTCTGTTATCATCCTCATAGGTTTCAGTAAGAATTTACATGGAATGCTCATTACACATGTGTGGGGAGAAAGCTCAGTGAGTGGGACCTAAGGGCAGTTGGTCTAGGGGAGGTGACAGCAGGGGATATTTGAAGTGGGCACTTAATTAGAATCTAAAATGAGAACCTTCTATGTGCAGAGGGAACAGCAGAGTCAAACAAGGAAGAGCATGGCTTGTCTATGGGCTGGATGAAATT